AATATCATATTATTAAATATAATTAAAATATAATTATAATATCATATTATATGATAAAATGATAATAGTAGAGTTATTAATATAATTATGATATTATCGTTACAATATTACTATTATATTATATTATATTATATTATATTACGCGTCTGAATTTTAGATTGAGAAGATTGTAAATTTTAAATTTCATTAAAAGTATTATGTATATTATGAAAGTTTCATTAATTGTACTATGTTGATTCCCGCGCAATCTAAAAGTTAAAATTGCATTTGGGCTGTTGCTGATTTTAGCTATAAATTCTTCAAAAATTCTTAAAAAACACTTTTGAAGAGATTTATCAAACACTAAAAAAAACTTTTGCTATAAGCAGAAGCTAATTTTAAGAGTGAAAAGCAATACAAAACGCAACCTACGTCTAATTAAATAAATTGTGCAAGAGAAGACGCCACTAATTTGGCTACTCTTATCATACTTTAATGATGTTCTACCAATAATGTATCACGGAATCATATAGATGGTGCAAGGGAAGACCACCAATTTGACTACCCTAATCATATTTTATATTTTATCTAATAAAAATGATGTTCTACCAACAAGGTACCACGTCCAACCAAATAATTCTCATGAACATAAAAGTAATTTTTCATTTTTTTTTCAAAAAAGAAAATATATAGAAGTGGAGAGATTTCTAGTTCCCCTAAGTGTATGAAGCCAATTGGCCAATATATAAAGACCCATTTCCTCATAAAACAAAGCTCTCAAGTTTTGACTTCTATCTAATCACTTATCTTCTCACTCTCCCCTCTCGCATTCTCACCCAATTTCTCCACCTCTCACCTCAGACTCTTCCCATGGCCTGCTCTGCTGCCTCCACCGCCCTTCTCTCTCTAAACCCAAAATCCCTCTCTAACTCTCTCTCTCCTCGGACCCTAACCATCTCCAAATCCCTCACTCCTCTCACCAAGCCCTTCCAATCGCCTATCCACCGCTCGCTTTCCCTCTCTCGCGGCGGCGCTCACTCCCGGAGGAACTTCGTCGTCAGGGCTTCCGTAAGTCTGCATTGCTCAATTTCGCTCGTTCCGTTTCGAATCTCGATTTTTTGCATTTTTTATTTTATTTTGTTGGGAATTTTTTTTTTGTTGGGGGTTTTGTTCTTGCGTAGAGAGAGGTGCCGCTGGTGGGAAATGTGGCTCCGGATTTTGAGGCGGAGGCTGTTTACGACCAGGAATTCATCAAGGTAGATTATTTATTTTTCTGTTGATGAACTAGATAAAGTTTTCATCTTTATCATTTTTTGTGTGTCGTGTTTTGCAAACCAAGTTTCTATTTCCACTTTAGAAGGATATTTAACTTCAGATAATTATGAATTTGGTTTGGTGTATTGACTTAGTATATTACTGGGTATTGCGTATTATATATATTTTAGATTGGAAATCTTATTCCTTCATTCAATGGCATCATGTTAATATTTCTGGTTGCTATTCTTATGATTTTAGTAGATAAAGTTGTCTCTCTTTATTTTTATTTTTTGTGTACCTTTTTACAAACCAAGTTTCTTTTTGCACTTCAGAAGATGATTAGATTTTACTTTGTTTAGCTTTAGATAATTGTTGATACCAGAATTTCTCATACACCGATGGCCCACCGGCGAAGTATTGTCCCCACTTGGGCCCGCCGTGACGGGTGGGGTTTTGTCCCTTCGTAAAAGGCGCCTCGCTGGTATGAGGGGTTGAACCTGGGGTACTTATACCTTTCCAGGCCCCCGTCTCTAACCGATGTGGGACTCTTGGCACAACAGTGCCCCCCGAGTCGGGGGGATTGGGAAGGCAGGCCGTGGCCAAACGTCTCCAGTGGAGTCGCCAACTGTTGATACCAGAATTTCTCACACACTGATGGCCCACCGGCGAAGTATTGTCCTCACTTGGGCCCGCCGTGACGGGTGGGGTTTTGTCCCTTCGTAAAAGGCGCCTCGCTGGTAGGAGGGGTTGAACCTGGCTTTTATATATGCGCATTTTTGTCTGTTTTGTCTTCGGTTTCTGGGTTCTGGGGAACCCGCGGTTCCTATGAAAACTCGTCGTTACCATTCTTGTATGAATGGTCGACGTTTAACCAGTCGTCGCTTAGAGTAGTCGCCGTTTATTCCTTTCGACGTTAGGGTTTTAACTTAGCTTTTTGTCCTTGTTATTACCAGAACAATGGCCCAAAGTTTACCCAGTCGAGAGGATTCTCCTTCTGTCGTCCGTTCTGACCCCCCTTCGGTGGTAGAGATCTCATGGACCTCTTCGTCTTCCGGTGTCAGCTCTGTGCTTAGGGATATCGAGGACGTCGAGGGAAGTTTTGAGCCGGGCGACGATTTCGGAAGTGAATTCGGTAGCGTCGAACGAATGATAGATGAGGTGGTCGAGCGGATCCCTTTTACCGGGGGGGGGGGGGGGAGTATAAGGGGAGTAGCCGCTGCGACGGCGGATGCCTCCCTGGCTGCCACGAGCGGGGACCCAGATAGGCCATCTTTTACAGCCGATGATGTGGCGTCGAAGGTCCGAAATAAGCATATCATTCGGGCTGTGAAGGAGGGATGTATTGACGGGAGGTGGTTCGAGTACCTCCTCCCGGATAAGCATTTTAGGACCAGCATGCCGCCGACCGGATACCTTCCGGTCTACACAAGAGCGGTAACTGCAGGGATGACTCTCCCAATTCATCCCTTTGTAAAAGATTATTGCCATTTTTACGGCATCTCTCCTGCCCAGAATGAGCTTCCCAAACCTAGGCTGAGCCCTCCCATGGCCGCTCAGAAAGTACCACCCATCGCACTTGGCAACGTGGCACAACTTGTACATAAATCGGAACTCGTCCAGTGGGAGTTCCATGTCGAACTTCTGGTTCCATAGAATCCAGGCTCCCGGGCTCAGCCTACGTTTGGGAAGCTCATTCTGGGCAGGAGAGATGCCGTAAAAATGGCAATAATCTTTTACAAAGGGATGAATTGGGAGAGTCATCCCTGCAGTTACCGCTCTTGTGTAGACCGGAAGGTATCCGGTCGGCGGCATGCTGGTCCTAAAATGTTTATCCGGGAGGAGGTACTCGAACCACTTCCCGTCAATACATCCCTCCTTCACAGCCCGAATGATATCCTTATTTCGGACCTTCGACGCCACATCATCAGCTGTAAAAGAGGGCCTATCTGGGTCCCCGCTCGTGGCAGCCAGGGGGGCATCCGCCGTCGCAGCGGCTACTCCACTTATACTCCCCCCCGTAAAAGGGATCCGCTCGACCACCTCATCTATCATTCGTTCGACGCTACCGAATTCACTTCCGAAATCGTCGCCCGGCTCAAAACTTCCCTCGACGTCCTCGATATCCCTAAGCACAGAGCTGACACCGGAAGACGAAGAGGTCCATGAGATCTCTATCACCGAAGGGGGGTCAGAACGGACGACAGAAGGAGAATCCTCTCGACTGGGTGAACTTTGAGCCATTGTTCTGGTAATAACAAGGACAAAAAGCTAAGTTAAAACCCTAATGTCGAGAGGAATAAACGACGACTACTCTAAGCGACGACTGGTTAAACGTCGACCATTCATACAAGAATGGTAACGACGAGTTTTCATAGGAACCGCGGGTTCCCCAGAACCCAGAAATCGAAGACAAAACAGACAAAAATGCGCGTATATAAAAGCCAGGTTCAACCCCTCCTACCAGCGAGGCACCTTTTACGAAGGGACAAAACCCCACCCGTCACGGCGGGCCCAAGTGGGGACAATACTTCGCCGGTGGGCCATCGGTGTGTGAGAAATTCTGGTATCAACAGTTGGCGACTCCACTGGGGACGTTTGGCCACGGCCTGCCTTCCCAGTCCCCCCGACTCGGGGGGCACTGTTGTGCCAAGAGTTCCACATCGGTTGGAGACGGGGGCTTGGAAAGGTATAAGTACCCCAGGTTCAACCCCTTCTACCAGCGAGGCGTCTTTTACGAAGGGATAAAACCCCACCCGTCACGGCGGGGCCAAGTGGGGACAATACTTCGCCGGTGGGCCATCGGTGTGTGAGAAATTCTGGTATCAACAGTCGGCGACTCCACTGGGGACGTTTGGCCACGGCCTGCCTTCCCAGTCCCCCCGACTCGGGGGGCACTGTTGTGCCAAGAGTCCCACATCGGTTGGAGACGGGGGCCTGGAAAGGTATAAGTACCCCAGGTTCAACCCCTCCTACCAGCGATGCGCCTTTTACGAAGGGACAAAACCCCACCCGTCACGGCGGGCCCAAGTGGGGACAATACTTCGCCGGTGGGCCATCGGTGTGTGAGAAATTCTGGTATCAACAATAATCTCATTGGGTATTACGTATTGTATTTTTTTTAGATTGGAGATACTATAATTTTATTTAATGTCATCATTTTAATGTTGTACGAACCAACTGTATGCTGCAACATTCTGCACACGCAACTTTTTTTCTCGTGAAGATGACATTTATGGTTGCTATTACTATGATATTACTTATTCTAAAATTGTGCATTATCCTAAGTTGTGCTTTTCAATGTCAGGTCAAACTCTCCGATTACGTCGGGAAGAAATATGTTATCCTATTTTTCTACCCTTTGGACTTCACATTTGTTTGCCCTACAGGTTCGTGGATGGTGACCAATTTTGAGTTGTTGGTTTGGATTGTGTTGTGTTGGATTCTCAATAATACTACTCTTTTGGTTTAAATTTTTCTTGCAGAGATTACAGCTTTCAGTGACCGCCACGAAGAGTTTGCAGCCCTAAACACAGAAATTTTGGGTGTTTCAGTTGACAGTGTGGTAAGTTGTTGCTGTTTCATTTATCTTGAAGACTATAATTCAAGTTGCCATAAACCTTTTCACAATGTGATTTGATGACGAAAATCAACTTTTCCGTATATCTTTCATCTTTAGATGTTTCATTTATCTTTTGTATTTACATATGTACATGTATTTTGCATCTTGTTTTATAAAGACTTGTACTCTTCCTTAAATTGGTGAATCTAAATTCATCTGCCTCTTACTGTATTTTGTAGTTTTCACACCTTGCATGGGTTCAAACAGACAGAAAGTCTGGCGGTCTTGGTGATTTGAAGTATCCGCTAGTGTCTGATGTCACCAAATCAATTTCAAAAGCTTATGATGTGCTGATTCCCGATCAGGTATATAATTTCCTTCTGTTGGCGAATTCCCGTACTAGATGAACATGCTATGCGTTGCAAATAATTTGCTGCTATACTTGTATAGTTGCCATTTTCATATGCATTGCATATGGCAGAACCATATTTGACTTCATATGCAAATGGTATATTTTCAAATATGATGTTGTTTGGAAGGCGCATCATCTATTTGACACAAAGAAAGATATTGTCCCCCCAGATTAGTTCCCCAAGTTGCCATAGTCTGAGAGTTTCAGCATGTTTGGAACCTTTTTTAAAAACAGTTTTCACGTATTTCGAGGAGCAAAAAATGAAATTGATCTCAAAATTGTGTTTGGTGCAACATTGAACAAAAAACAAGATTGAAAATGCTTTTTTGTTTTTACTGAAATGGGATGAGTTTCTGATAACGACTATTCAATTTCTCAATTTCCATTTTCTCCATTGCAACTCTGAAATTCTGAAGAAGAAAAATCCAAGCTTTTATTCCAAAACTCTGAAGAAGAAAAATCCAATTATAAGCTTATAATCGAAGAATTATAATTGGCATGATACCAGTATAAAAAAAAAATCCAAGCTCTAATGGCCTCAAATCCCAAAACCACCACACATTTTTTGTGCCGACTCAAGAACAATCCATACTCATCAAAAACCAGAAACAGCTTCTCGTTTTGCCTCTTCTCTTTCGGCTCTCAATCAATCATTTAACCCCAAAGAGACGTTGGATTTTAAGTTTTCGAAACAGTGGAAGCCATTAAAGAGAGAAAATCGAGCTTAGAAAGAGAAATTTTGGTCTTCTGTTCCTGTTTCAGAGAAAGAGAGAGATTTGGGTGACAGAACAAAGAAGAAGAAGAAGAGGTTTGAGGCCTATAGTGATTATTCAATTGGGCCTTTCAGATTTTGGATTGGACGGTGGTGGTTGGATAAAATACTTCAGTTTTTTTTTTTTTTTGAGAAGTTTTATCTCAAGATTAAAAAGAAATTAAAGACTAATTCAATGCTTATCCAGTTATCCTATTCATAATATTATGCAAATAAATATGGTAACAAAGAAGCTCAACTCTTTTTCCTTAATATATTATTTAAAATACTATTAGATATTTTTAAAAATATATAACCAAACAGAGTTTCAGTTTTTTCTTATACTGAAAACAATCTCTTAATAAAATTACCAATGCATTTTCAGAAATGATTCCTGCACGAATCTCAAAACGTTTTCATTTTCATACACAAAACATAATCATTTTGGAACAGGTTCTAAATGCGCTCCTTGTTTTTAATTTGTCAGGGGATTGCGTTGAGAGGACTCTTCATTATCGACAAGGAAGGTGTCATTCAGCACTCGACCGTTAACAATCTTGCCATTGGCCGCAGCGTTGACGAGACTAAGAGAACGCTCCAGGTAATACATTCAACAATGACAATCTGAACTCTGAAGTATATTAGATTGCCAGATCTGTCCTCACCATATACTTAAAGATCAGTTTATTTTTCAGCTTTATTGTAAATCACGTTTTCATCGGTATCCATTGCTTACCTTTTTCCTTAAATCTGGGTCCTGCAGGCCTTGCAGTATGTTCAGGAGAACCCAGATGAAGTTTGCCCTGCTGGATGGAAGCCCGGGGAGAAATCCATGAAGCCGGATCCCAAGCTCAGCAAAGAGTACTTCGCCGCCATATAGAGTGGGGTTGTATTGAAATGCTTGTTCCATATCAATGTCAATGTAGAAAGTTGTAAACGAAGTTTTGTTAATGTCCTTAATTTATTTGCTTGTGAATCTTGAGCATCAGTTTGTCAAAATAAACGCGGAGGATGGGACTTGCCCAGTTTTCTTGGATTAATCAGTGTAGCAGTTGCACAAATCCTTCTCTCTAATGTCATGCCTGTGTTTTAATAATTGAGTTATTTTACTGTGCGTTGCTTAGCTTGAAAACCTGTTGAAAAAAGAAGCGTAAATCTTCAAACCCTCGTTGCTGGAAACTCTCACAGCTTGATTGACCAACACGATTTAGGCAGCTATCCCGTTCTTTTCACTGTTTGAATCACAATGCAGTTTTTTTGTTAATGGATTCTTCCATATAAATTTAAATTTTAGTTCGAAGTTTTACCCTTGAACCTGCCGAAAGAACAGGGTAGTTCCAAAACCCAAGCATTCCATCTTGCCTTGTAATTTTTTAGAGAATTCTGTGGTGGTAGGTGTGATAATAATACTGCTAGAATATTGTTTTTCTCCGTCAAATATTCATCATTTTTTTTTGTTTTGTTTTAAAAACTAGGATCTTCATCAAATTATTGTTAAATTGTTATATTATTTAAATCTTATATGATTTTGAGACGTAAAAAATAAGACACCACTGTTTTTTCTTTTATTTTAATGGAATTATCTTTTTTTTTTTTTAAAAGAAAAAAAAAAGGAATAAAGAAAAATTTTCCCATAAGAAGTGGATTTTATCCATTCCATTTCCTTTCCCCAAACTCTGGGCACAAATTGGCAAGTGAGAGAATGTGGACAGAGAAGCTCCTCCGTTGCCAATCACCACCAATCCCATCACCAATCCTCCACTGTCATTCTCATCCCATCTCCAAACACCGAAGCCTGCAGCCACCAAGAACGAGAACTAGCACAACACCCTCATTAACGACATGTCGTAGGAGGTTGTGGACCATATCAGCATCATCTCTTTCTCAGCCACAACCACTCGACTTAACAGAAGACAACATCAGACTAGTCCTCGCAGACGCTCGACTCGAGCTTTCCCAGCTCTTTGACGACTCAGTTGGCATTACAGGTGACACATGCATCTATATATATACACACACACACACATATATATCTATTTACACAGAGATAGATATAAAGATTTTTATTTTTTTATTTTTTTTTATTTAGGACAAGTTCAACTTGCTGAATTAGATGGACCCTTTGTGAAGATTAGTTTGAAAGGTCGGTTTTGGCACAAACGTAGCACAGTTCTTGCCAGACTGGGCAATTATCTCAAGCAGAGGATCCCTGTGAGTTTAATTTTTTTTTTTTTCAGCTTGATTTTGGTTTTGGACATGTATTACACTTTGGATAATTTTTTTTTTTTTTCCATTTTTTGGTTACAGGAAATATTAGAGGTAGATATAGAAGATGAGAAGCAATTGGATGATAGTCCCGCAAACTTCTAATCGGTACCCTGACTGCTATTAGTTTCCTGTGATTTTAACTGAAAATGTAGAGCTGAGAGCTGTGTGTTGAAAGAATTCTTCTTGTTTTCAATTGAAAGATTTAGAAGGGAATTTATTTTATTGTTTACTTTATTATGAACTTCGCCTAAAAATAATACAGAAGTACAAGATGAACCAGAGGAAAAGTAAAGTACCGGAGTTCACATAGAGAGAGTATCTAGCGCGCGCACACACACACACATATATATATATATATATATATGTATGTATATGTATGACGTATATATATACACACGCGCGCTCGCGCCCTCACATAAAGCACAAACCAACGCCCTTGTATATATGCTTTGTCTAACTTCCACAATCCATGAAACCATGAAACCATGAATTTGGTATGATATTCTCCTAAAAAGTCTTAATAGAGTGATCAGTAATAGTTTTATATTCTAACACCTTATGATTTTAGTTGTTCAAGTAGCCTATTTGGAACTAATTAAAAAGGTGTTGTGTTAAGCATATTAGGAATGTATCACATGGATAAGCTGAATTAGTCCATAAGGATGAAAGATTATTGTTAAAAGGCAATTCAAAAAATTTATACTTCGGAGTAATCTATCTAGCAAAAGAGCCATTGCGTTGGATTGAGCCACCATTACGATTTGCTTCATGAACTATGGCGTTGTTAATGATGTAGCTTGTGTTGATATGAGGTACCAAGAGGCGCCAGAGTCAGCAGCTGTAATATCGCATGCATTGCATTTGCAAGTAACCTAGCTCGGAAGAATGCCACCGGCGGCGCGGTGGCATAGCAGAAAGGTCTTGATCACTCTGTGGCTCTCTCTCATCCGCCAGATGTCTATTCTTTGTGTATGTATTTAGTTCTATAAAATAGTGAGGTCTTTGACGTGCACGAACCTTCAAGAATTGTTGACGAGAGCGTGGACTGATCCTTTTTCCGTTCTACTTATGGTCCCAGTAAATTCTTAAAAGTGGCGTTGGATGGAGGTGTGCAGACACTCCCAATCCCTTCTATAGTAGGAAACCTAGCTAGTAAATAGGAAGAACTAGACTAAATAACGAGGACTGTGTATCAGTTGAAAAACTACTAGATTCTCTCTGAGGTTGTCCTTGTGCTGCTGTGCAATAGTCACTAAGGGCCCGTTTAGTTCGCTGATTCGAGTTTTTAATTCGAGTTGAGATGTGACTTTATGTGAGAGCTTTTTACTGTAGCAAAAAAGTTAGATGTGATTGTTTATGAGAACTTTTTACTGTAACAAAATTCGAATTCTAAACTCGAATCGGTAAAATGAACGGAGAAGTAACTTTTAATTCAAAAACAAGTTATTAGTCTTTTTGTTGTGGAAATTTTGATTGCAAATCACTATTCTGATCGTGACGAATCTCACCAGAATGGCTCTAATTATTCGACAAGATTATTGAGAGTGAACACAAGGAAGAACTTGAAACAAAACCAAAGAAACACAGCAAACGAAGGGATTCCTGTTTGTTTACCCAAGGGAGTTTTCTTACAAAGTACAGCCAGAAAATTGAAACAAAAGAGCTACGTTTTTACACGTGTTTATTTTAAGATCAACGTAAGCGTTAACTTCATGATCAACATATATTATGACATTTAAAACTTTGGATTAAAATCATAAAAAGATCTCTGAACTCTTTTTCATTTATAAAAATAGTTCGATGCATTTGAAGTTGTACTGAATTTAGTTCCTGAACCGAAAAAATATGTTAAAAGTTATACTTTTGTTTAAATAAATTTAGTTCCTACTAACAAAGCTTGCCTTAGGAAGTCTTAACAAGAGAGAGCCAAAATCATGTAATGTCCGACCACCGCAAACTTGCCGGAAACCTAAAAACAGGACTCTGCAATTCTATATTCAACATTCCACAAAGTTTCTATTATAAAGCTACTTAAAAAGGACTAAAGCTCCAAACAAATGACATGAAATGTAAACTGCACAGAGCGAAAATAAATAAATAAATAAATAAATAAAGGAATGCCCTCTAGAGAAAAGTTCACTCTAAAGTTCATGGTTTGCCATGGTTTGTGTATGCCTATTATTTATGTCATTCTAAGTAATTGAGTGTCATCATATCTTTTATTCTCTCTTCATTAATTGAATGACAATCGCTTATTTTTACCATCTTGAGCAGTATTATCACTAGAACCTCCAGCATCAAAACCTACTTTTACCCGAAGA